GCAGGACAGGGCACTGAAATGCTGAGTATGATCACCTCTTGGACAGGGCTTTTTGGGATGGAGTTCAGCATACTTCAGCCCAAATATTAAGAAATCACATCTACGTTGCACACTGAAAAAACAAATGTTTGCTATGTTACTTATAGGGCACTCTCCAAAAATTATTCCATTTTCTGTTGAGATAAAATGACATTTGGGATGTGTGCTTACAGGATTTTAACCTACAGCTGTGATAACACTATATAGTCAATCTTTTCTCCATGTAGGTATTTTTTAATCCATAAACACTTCATAGTTAAACATCATCTGGAGGGCAAACAGAGTGACTAAGAGCTGCGCCCAATCATGGTAAGATTTCCACATCCCATGTGAATGGTGATTGCAGCAAGCCAAAGCACGACCCTATAAAGAGAGCAGATTTCTGTTTTCCCCATTGAGAAGGTCCTCCGTGGATCACTAAACACAGCCACAATTTACATGAGTGTTACTGGAGTTTATATGGAAGTAGGTTCTCAATGGCTTGAGGTGGGTAATTAGAGACAAGTCGCTATGCAAATGAAAGCACAAATGCTAAAATGATGGCATTAGGATTCTACAGAATAGAATTGTAAATAATTATATGTATAATTATTTTATCATGGAACTTGCAACAGCAAACGTCCCGAAACTTTTGCCCAAGGAAGATGGAAATATTGGAAAAGACCAAACAACTGCTGTTTCTGCAGTTGCATTGCAGCATTATCAGTGATCATAAACATGGACTTTGTGATTGTGATAAGAAATGAAGCACTGCTGTTTGTCTGGTTCCACCTCCTGATAAAATGGCAAACCCTGGCAAGGCAAAAAGTTGTGCATACCATCAACAGCACACGGCCTCTCCTTCACCTGAGGAAAACTATTAATATAGGCTAGGTGTGTTTTAACTTAGTGTTGGTGCTTCAAGCTGTGCAAATGAAAAGCATATGTTGTTATGTATTACAACTTTGTTATCATCTACTTGATTATTATCAAGATGAGAAAGACCCTACAGTGTTTATTTCAGAATACAAGGAAAAAATCAAACATTCTGATATTTTGACTACTTATCTTCATTATTAGGTTCTATGCTGATATTAGTTTGGGTAGATACCATTCACTACAAATTAATAGGAAATCAGATATGTGCCCTCTGCTAAATACCAGCATACACACAGCAAAAAAAATAATAATATGCCATAGATATTTCATCATTTTATCTTGAAAATCATCGATAAACAATTTCAATCACTCTTAATTTATGAAAAGTCTTTCAGCACTGCAGGTATCCTTCATTTTTGGCAACCCTGAGCAGATAGAAATATTGAGGTTTATCCCCTCCAGACGCTTTTCTCTCCACTGTGCAACCAAAAGGATCTGTCTGTTTTCCAGTTATTAGAGGTTACTTCTGTGCACTGAGGAAAGGCTTCCCATATTGCATTTTTTAAAGTTATTAAACAGCAATAAAGCCAGTGATGCAGAGAACCTCTTTATAATAAAGCAATACATACATGTATATTTACTCATTTCCCGAGACACTACAAGCTCTCCTTTTTACGACACAGCTAATTAAAATAGTCTCATCCTGTGCTCTGTTTATGAAGTATTACAGATACCGAACTGTGAGTTAAAGACAAAAAAATTGTGACAGATTGTTCGGCCACAAGTAAGGCTCCTATTAAAAACACTGGCACTGGCAAAGTGCAAGGGAAGCACAGGAGTTTCAGTACATTGCATATAGCCATCTTGGGGTGAAGAAGGGGGCTTCCCTTCCCTTCCCTTCCCTTCCCTTTCCTTCCCTTCCCTTCCCTTCCCTTCCCTTCCCCTCCCTTCCCCTCCCTTCCCCTCCCTTCCCCTCCCTTCCCTTCCCAGGGGTTTTTCAGATGTTTTAAGTTCATTTACCTACTTATATGAGGGCTGTTGTGGACAGAAAAACTCAGCACAGTGTGTATACACAAACAATCCAGGAGTCTGGTATGTGGGAAAGACTGAATTTCAAGCTTCAGGTTCTTCCAAATTCGTACATCAGGGACATATGCTGTTCAAATATCAATGGAAACGAATATTTTCCTTGAATAACTAAACACAAATAGACTGCAGAGATCTATGGAATACTGAATCTGTTAGGGCTAGCCTGCAAATTACAGTTAATCCTATTTGTACATGTAAAGAGTGTTTTACAATTCATTAAAAGTGGTACTGATGCCCTAGAATGCACTAAAGGTGATTAATATGTACCGCTTTAAATAATACAACAGACTTTACAAAGTTTGAATTATTTATGAGAGCAGCAGTAACATCTAGCAGAAATAAAAATAAATGAATGACTGAGGAAAAGAGTGTTTTTCTAAACGTTACTTAAGATAGAGCATTATTTCCTCTTTCCCAGTCAGCAGTGCCTCATTTTTTTAGAGAAAATAAGAATTGCAGAAATTGGAGGCATCCCTGGAAATCACCTCATTCAGCTCCTTGCTCTAGTTGGTCACCCTGCACCGTGGCCAGTCAGGCTTTGATCTCCTCCAAGGATGGAGGCTTCTCAACCTCTCTGGATAACTGATGCCATTCCAAGTCATTGGCTGACCTTCAGCTCCCATTGGCAGATGTGCAGGAGGTCCTGCAGCCCCAGCGGATGCTGCAGAGCTGCAACTGAGCATCTCCTGAACCTGGGCATGTTTACTCCTCCTGGCAATGATTTCAGATCCAGTTTGGGGTCTGGAGGCATCATTAATTAAAGCCTCAATGAGATGCAATGAGGTGTGAGAGGTTGCCTCTCCTGTCCTCAGCGCACCGCTGTCCCCACCCCAGTCAGCAGCGTTTGGCCACATTCAGCCCTATGGCATTTTGTTGCCCTGCCAGGCTGCAGCAGCACAGTCAGGATTTATCACTGGTGCAGCCACCTCCGGCAGCTGTTAGATGAAAATGGAAAAAAGAGCCCTCCGTCACCCCCCAGGGACCCATCAGGACAGAAACTCCAAGCATCCATTGCGAAGATGGACAGTTTTAATCCCATACAAGAGCCCACAGACACTTACCCTGACTGTAGGGCATAAGACAGCGCTTGCTTTGCTGGCACATGCCTGCTCTCACCTTCTGATATTTTTATTATTTTGCTGACAGTTTTTCTTTCTGGCTGTCTTATGAGGCAGACTTTTCATTTTGGTTAAAGCCCAGCAAGTATCAAGCAGGGCCAGGGCTGGAGGAGGTCAAGGGAGGAGGCAGGAGTTGTAGCTAGCTTGCTGTAAGCTTTCCCTAGACCCAGCTGCCAGCTCCTCCTGCTGTTACCACATGATGGATTTGTTCTCAGCTCCTTGCATGATCCCTTGTACAGCAAAAGCATTGAGAGAGCAATGACACCCAAATCTGGGCTGGGTGTCCAGCGTCCTCCAGTGATGCTGTAGCAAAACACACAATGAGAATCCTACAAAAAGCAGACATTGACCTACCAGACAGGAAAACATTCCATATCTGACAGCTGTGATGGAACTGGGTGGATATTTCCACCACTGAGGGTACGCAGGAGGTAGCATGGTTCAGAAAGCCTGAAAGGAACGATGCGTTGTCCGTGATGGAGAGGCAGGAGACAAAACATGCACACTCCAGATGCTCAGGGTTGGCTGACCTGATCGTTCTGCCCTGTCCACTAACCTGTCAGTTATCAGCTTCCCTCCCCTCTCTTTCAGGCACTGCACTGCTCAAACAGCTCATTTCTTTCCAGCGGAGCTGTTTGTTTGGAAACGTGCCACTGACAAAGTTGTTTTTCTCTTCTGTTTCTTATTATGACACAGCATCACAGTCATTAGCACTTCACATTTAGTGACAACATTTTTCCTTTGGAGACTGTTATTATACGAGATTATGAGGCAGGAACTATCAGAATGCTTCTCAAGGGGAACTGGTTATTGTGTCCAACAAAACTTATGTTGATGTTGAAGCATACTTTAGAAAACCACCACCAGCCATTAGGATCAAAACCAAGCTCTTATTGTGTATTGCCATCTAAATTGGCTCCATACTCCACATGGTGCACACAGCATGAAGGAAAAGGAAGCACTCTGGGGTCTCCCCTGCAGCACTGGGGGGTTGCAGGCAAGATGGGATGAGTTAGAAAAGGCAACGACCTGTTCTCACCCTGGCATTCATTTGATCAAATTACTGAGCACCTGCTATCGAACAGAAACAACAGTTTCTACACCTGGACAGTGTAGGGAGCAATGCTGGGTGAGCAATCGATTTTTCAGTTCAACTACCAAGTTAAAAAGTGGGAAAAAGAAATCAATGTGATCCAAATTCAAGCAGATTTTTTTTTTTTTTTTTTTT